TAAAATCTTTCACAGAAAATAGTTGTGGCAGAAAAAGAATGAATTGTACTTCTCTAAATTGGTCGTCGAAGTCCGTCTATAATCTTAGTCCTATTATTGTTGTTTGTTCAATAGCTGTTGCTATTCATACTATCTTTTGGATTCAAGTTATATCATTTTCATCATTAAGACAAAGAAATATGATGTGGCTATATGCATATTTAATAACGGATTTTATTCTTCTAACTCGATTTTTTATTTTCTATTGTATGCGTCGGTGGGATGTATGCTTGTATCCGACGCTTCAAGTAATCTTATGTTATTTTGAAGCAACATTAAAATTTTATATTAATATAGTACAAAGTTATATTTTGCTTGCACTAAATATATGTCGTGGCGCGCAAATCATATTTAATCGAAATGTTTTTATAAAAAATCCTCGTTTAATTATTTTAACTCATTTTTTGATTTATATATTACCAGCACTTAATATCACGATACAAATTTTTGGTAACTGGACTATATTATTGCATACAGCAGGCGAGTCTTGTGATATAATATACAGTTCTTTAACTGTAGAAATATTTAATCTATTCATTATCTATCTTATTCCAGTTGCTTTGAATCTTACTGTCATAGCATTTTGTATTCGTCATGTAAGTTCAATAAAAGGTATTCATAGTCAACAAATAATTAATCTTCGTCGTAAACATAAAAAAAGTCTTTTAATCCGTACAATAATATTTTATTCAATTTGGCTTGTATTATGGAGTCCAAATGTACTTGCTTTTCAATTTATTAATGTTAATACTGAACCTGGCATTTATATTTCTCTGCTCAATTATATAGAAATAAAAACTGATCCGATTTTTATCACTGTACTTGATGTTCGACTTTTTCAATCATGGAAAATAATATGGCGTAAAATAAAAAGATGTCGACGAAGAGCTGTGGCTCCAGCATTGCCAGCAGCTTCTGAACAAACCTATTGACAGTATTATGTTCATACTATGTCATTATTACTATTAAATTTTCAATACATAAATTAGTTTTGTTTTTCTTCTATATATATATAGAATACGTATATAATAATACTTCGTAGATATGAATGAAATGCAAGTTGTTGACAGGTGACAGAATGACACGATTTATCGTAGTTCGCATGCGTTGTCTTCTATGCTAGAGCTACGCAATCAGCTAATGAAAACTTATTTACCGTTATATCGAACATCTGACGAGATTGTAAGAAATAATCATGATCTCTGATGAATAGATATCAAGTTTGGTCAACAGATCTTTCAATGATCTTATATATGATGTTTGTTTTTATCATGGAGGGTATCCTTAAATGATATCCTGTAAACAATTGTTTTCTTCTGCATGTCTCTTTTTGCTTTAGTAAAACTTCCTTTGTAAAAGACCTCAGTTATTGCCATGACTTTTCTTTTATTTTGTGGAGCTGACGTCCGTTTCCGAGGAAAAATAGCAAGTGTAAGTTTTATGTTCAATTTTTTGGAGATGCCCCTCCTCCTTCCCTTCAAGATCTTAGGATAGAATACCATTTATAATTTACCATCGTTTTTCACATAACTCTTCAAGATCCAGTATTATTGAGTAGAAGCTTGTTGATCCACATTTTTGAGAAGAAAGCACATTCATATCGTCTCACACAAACCAGCATCTTCGATCTGTATTTGATAGTAAATGATAACAACAAGAATCATGATGGTGAGATTAAAGGAAGATTCTTGTAGTCAAAGCTCTGATCCGACAGAGCGATGTTAAGAACAAAATTGAACATCCTTCACTTAAGAGCTGCGAAGTGAGTCTAAGATCTAAAGTCGAACATGACTGAATCACATGAACATGAGTATTTTACTCAAGATTTCTTTTTAGAATTATGTCGTGATTGGAAATTCTTCACAGGAAGAGAACAAACCGTCAGAAACAGTTCCTCGAGAGGGGCAGACATTAGTTTCATCGGTGAAATAACTTGTTTGCTTGAGAACAATCCCAGTCTTTGTTAAATGCGTAGCTACACCAATATTTTCGAAAACCTTTTCTTAAACTGGATATGCTTATGTCAAAAATGGCATTCGTTCTAAGCCGTCATTACATAGTTCATTAATGATTGACAATAACAATGCTCATATGTCGAATGATAGCACGAGTGTATCGGATGCTTGTGTTATAAAAGCAATTTCTTGTTGGTTTAATGATCCTATTTTCTTCTATATAGAAACTGTTTTGAAGAAAAATTGTGCTCCGGTGAAAGTTGGGATTATATGGAATTTCTTTTGATCGAAGGATTACATCATGCGCTTCTTCACTTTGAGCGAATGCCATATACCAGGTGCTAATGATATAGGCATTTGTAGCCATGGATTCGAGGACTGTTCTTAGCTAGTTCCATGCGAACACTCAAACAACCTATGTCATGAACCTAATCATAGATGTGTTCATCATCCTTGATACCAAGTCTTTCTGTTTGTTATCTGGTGCCGAGTTGTGATCGACAATTCTGTCCACCGACAGCAAGTAAAAAACAAACAGTGATCTACAGATTCAAGCAAAAGCTCAACCTTTGTTAAACTTATTTCTTCATCATTAATACATCCTTACATATGCAGTTCATTTTGTTGTACGAAAGGCAGAGAAGGACCGAAGAGTCTTTAAATAAAGTAGATGAATCAGGATAGCGACAAAAACGAACTGTAATATTGAAATGTGTGAAAACGCAGTGAAATTTGGAGTATATATCAGAGGAAAAAAATTGAACAATTGATTATCTTATTCGATTCGATTCTATAGAACATATCATATTTCTCTTTATTCATTGTTGTCGTTGTATACTCGACTGATTCGTGTGAATATTGGGTTCGCTTGGCAGCCTTTCTTCAAAACAAATGTGATTCACATCGGGGACAAAAGAAAACGCATTTATAGTTCTCTCTGTTATGTTTTCAATGACTAAACGTGCTAAAATGAAGGTAAATCATTTAGTTGTGACAGAGTAAACGCTGCAGTTCAAGAGCGCGTTAACGATCGAATCGGATGAATATGTCATTAATGATCAGTAATGCAACTTTGTACGTAATTTATGCTTCATAGCTGGTAGTATTACTGAGTCAGTCGCCTCAGTAAGATACTAATAAGCACAGAATGTATATTGATGGTTGCTCTTAATATTTCTTCTTATTTTTGAAGGCTATGTCTATGTGTATCAAACATTTTAATTACCTTTCTCAAGAGAAGCATGTCAAAATTCAAGCTGTCTGATGACGACAGAGAGCTCGTAAAAATTTATTTCTACACTGTTATTTTGTTCTTTCGAAAAGTCCTTTAAAGACGTTTCAGTCACACTGCTGATTTTATGGCAGAGTGTTCTAAAGATGAAGGACAAAGACACTGACATGTAGACAATTTATGTGAGAGGTTGAAATTAGAAAATTTATACTTCTAATAATGATTTTGTCCTGCAACGGCAGCTGGTACGTTTAAATCTCTGCACGCATCCAAAATACAACAGAATTGATGAATTTGAACAGGATGGTATCGATGGGTTCGGTTCAATTCGATTTGATTTGATTTGATTCAGTCGCATCACATCAAATTGGATTGTGGTTGTGAGTATTCTTTTCAACAATACGCATACACCCTCGACTAACTCCACAAATATACCAGCCGCTCCAGTTAGATGATTCATTCCACACGACAATTCTATTTTTAAAATGTAAAAGATCTTAGCAAGAACCTAAACAAGTCCCACCAAATACGGATTGTCATAGACTCTAGGCGAGTTTATCAAGGAATATACAAAGTTAAGATTAGTAGAAGTGACATAGATATTAGTATCATTCCGCGGCATTTTTTATACGAAACTCGGAAAGGGCTCTAAAATTTTACCGCTGGAAAGAACACTCTCAACATTTTTACCTGATCTATTTCGAAAACCAATGTCATATTTGTTCCTGTTGCTCATGTGAGAGAACGGCTCTCGTAGACAAAGTTCATTCCTTCTCTTTTTCGTTACTTGTAGAGTGATTCCCAATATTCCAGCCAATACCCACTGGGCACACGATGGAGTGCCGGTTACTGAAGGCTAAGGAGAAGACAATGTCACAATTCAACTGAACAGCCAGTACGGTATCTTTCTTGATATTGGTCAAATAATGGTCATCTCTGATTATTGGAATCATCGTATTATTGAACCAGTGATACGTTGGCCTAAATAAGCAACGCAGGGCACTATCATTGTGGATGGAAATGGTCTAGAGCCGAAGCAAACCAATTCAACTGGTCCAATGAAAATAAGTAATGAAAACGATCAAGTTGAATTTTATCTACAAGTTTGTATTTGTACATACCACTTTATTAATAGAAAGAATATGTTAACACAAAGACCATGTTAGGTCGTGTGTAGCTGTATAGTTAAATCACGTGAAATAATAGTTAGTTCTTTTTCTATCCTATTCATGGTGACATTTTGGTGCATGTTTTATGATTTTCATCTAGGCATTTAAAAACCATCATAGACAATGTCCGTTGCATTATCAAAAACGTGACATTTTTTCATTTCTCGTGATCATTTTTACTATTTTTTATTAATTGGTTGGATGAGTGACCTCAAAGATATCAGATACTTTTCCAGACTTTTTTCTATTCGCTGACTAGAGCTGCTCAGATTCGCAGCCAACCTGACGCACTCTACTTACATTGCTAGATATGTTTATAGAATTCTTTAAGACTAATGATATTTATAAAAATTCAATGGAAGTAAACGACCCATTAGAGAGGAAAACAAAAATCTAAATATTGCACTTCTTCAGAAATTTTTTAAAAGTCTTTCAACTTCAAATAATTTTCATATACAGATATTAAAAAAATAATGTCCACTAATTGCATCAACCTATAAAAAAAATTTACATTTACAGATTTGATTTCATAAAAGATGCTTTAATTTCAATTCAAGTATTTTCAATCGAATCTGCCAATGTTTATGCATTTGTATCCAAGCAATTTCAATATGCAGCAACAACAAATGTTATTCTGTAATAAATAAATAAATAAATCATAACGATCATATTTGTTTTTACTTACGCATCACTACCAAGCCGATAAAACACCCCATAACCATTGAAACATATTGGTGCTGTTCCACCTACTGTTATAGTGAAACCAATACAACTCACAGATGGAATAAAATTACCACTGCCACCACTAAAAACAAAAACGATTTAACAACTAATAAATCTTTTCTTTTTAAACCTTTTTATCCATGATGAATCATTTGCGAGTTCAAATGGTTTTCCTATTATATATGGTATCATACTCAATCCAAATAAATGTCAATCACAATCTTGATTTTTCGACGCTTCAGTCACTATTTTTTGATGACGATTAGCACCAAGAAGAAATAATTTTTTTTTCAACTTCCTATATATATATCAACTGTATGACAAACATAAGAAGAAAAATAAATTTTACTGTTAATTGACTATTTGAATTTATCATTGCACGACACCATGCAACCACTTCTGGTATACAAGTTCGTGATGTTTCAGTTCTTCCACGATAAAAACGTCTTGTGGATGCTATTTCATCAGTTGGTGCAAGTTTATGTCCATGTAGTTTAAAATAAGCTAGCTGAAGACATGATTGAAAAAAATTATCTCGATGAATGCGAATATATTGTTTAATATCTTCTTTTGTTCATTGAGTGACATTATTGACTTTAATTTCGATATTATCTGCTGAATGATTAAACAAATTAATTGCACGACTGATAGCGTTAAATACACGTGAATCATAAATAAATAAAAGTTCTCCAACAATTATTTTATTATAAGGATCAGATAATAGTGCGCCATGAATTTATCTTTTCAAGAGAATCAATATGATTTTGTGGATGATCCCAGATTTGTGTTGGAGTAATACCTTCATAAGCTAAGTGGATTTGGGTGGATGTGGGGTGAGCGTGGGTGTGGGGTGCGAGTGAGGATGTGAGTGTGAAGGAAGGAAGAACATCACCAAAAACCATACATCGTACCCACACCCACACCCAGATTACAGTTTTTCCACTATTGCACATAGATTTCAAAAAGTCAAATGTAGAAATTATATTTTAAGATTTAGAGAATACATTTAAAGAGATGGAACAACATACGAAAAACTGAAAAAAATTAAAGAATTCATGACGGACGAATTTTACGTAACAAGAGAAATTGAAAAAGACGCTGTTCATGATACGGATTTGGAATTATATGCAATTAAAAAAGCAGGAGAATTGAGCTGAGGTTCTTTCAAAGCAAACAAATCGTTTATATAAGGATTCAAAAAAGAGAACAGAGTTTCATCACGAAGATACAATAAACTTATTATTCGAACCGCTCGCCCAAAAATGTTTGTAGTTTGAAAGGTATTTAAACTTCCATTCAAGATTCAAAGTATATTTGTATAACTAAGGTATATGTGTTTATTTCAAATGCTCAAGATTGGGTTGAAAGTAAAAGAGATGTAATTTCTAAGTATTCTTCTCGTCAAATTTTGAATAGTGATCATTGTTCATTTCAACAAGAATACGTTTCTCCAAGAACTCTGTCTTTTACTGGAGAAAAAACAACAGAAATGGCTGTTAAAAAGAAAAATAATATAACACACTCCTATACAGTGCAATCTGTCACCTCTGCTGATAATCCATTGTTAGACAAGTACTTACTTATCCTTCAAGAAAAAGATGATCAATTTGGTAAAATAGTACAAAAGAATTTAATTATACCACCAAATGTTGTAGTACAAGCTTCCAAATCTGAAAAAAGCAGCGGCGAAAAACATCGCGTTTTTCGAAATGAAGTTGTACGCCCTTTGGTTGGTAGAAAATTAGTTCTTTTTCTTAATTGTTGGAAAACTCAAGCTGATCTAAAAAAATTTAGAGCAGTATTTCCTAATCAAGAAAGTAAATTATTGATTTTTCCTGAAGGATCAACTGATCCCATTCAACTACAAGATTTATCTTTGTTTCGTTCATGCAGATTTATTCATAAGAAAATCGAGCATTACACTCATATAAATCGAACAGAAATAAATATGAGCGACCGTCAGTATTTCATTAATATGCATTCTGTCGTTCACAACCAACTATCGGCTCCACAATTCAAAAATCTCATTAAATGTGGATTCGTACAAGCAAAAATAACAAACGAAACGGTCGGTGAAATTGAGAAACCAAAAGACGTTTACTTTACGTTTTATGATCTTTACTGCTCGATTGACCATTGTGAAGATCGAACGCTGCTACTTTGTGCTTGGTGCAAAAAATATCTTTATTTTTATCATTTAATTGAAGATCTTCATCTCCATTTGAAGTGATAATGGTCATATGCAACACTGTATACTTTTTTCAGTATCAATAAAAACGAAAACGTTGATAACGTACTGATTATATGAATCAAAAATCATCTTTTTTATTTCTATACCGCCAAAATATTAGAAGATATCAAAACGAGTACGATCTTTATATGATAGAAAACTTTCGACAGGGCTATCGAAATTTCCGGTTAGAAAATCGATGAATTGTAAAAAAAACACTAAATATGAATAAGTCACGTTTTTTTCCGTTTTTGTCTAAACTGTGTAGACATTGAAATTCGAATATATTAGTCCAGGTACGCCATGGGCACATCATGTTTTAAATTCGTTAGTTTGCAAGTGAGACCTTTAAATTGACCCGAATATATCTAATATCCTTGAGTTACAGCCCACACACCTTCATTATCAGATATCCAAGGTTTTTTGGCTTTTCTTTTGGCAGTAATGACTACTTCCAGTGCGGTTTTGATTGCATTTTCGATCTGTGCTGCACTTTCGTCCACAGTACAATTCGACTGAATGCTCTTACGGCTGTTACTTAGTCTCTCTTGAAAGACCTGTTGTATTCATTACTCGTTGAGTTCTTTTGTGCCGAACACATGGGTACTTTGTGGCTTTCTACACAGTTGCTTAAAGTTTAGCTTGATGCTGCACAAGACTAGCGAGTGATCTGAACCTATATCTGCACTTTAAAACGTCCTGCAGTTAATGACAGATGTTTTACATCTTCTTTGGACCATAACTAGGTCGATCACGGTTTTGTAAACACCATCAAGTGATGCCCATGTCCATTTACGACGAGGCTTTTGTTGGAATCGTGTATTACATATGAAGAGATCGTGTTCTGCTGCGAACTCTAATAATCGTTCGCCTCGTTCATTTCTTGTGCCATAACCGTGCTTGCCCATTACATGCTCCCAATCTGTATTATCATTTCCTACTTTTGCATTCCAGTCTCCCGTTAGTATGATCATATGTATTTTAGGTATGATAGCTAACGTCTTCTCTATACTGTCATAAAAAGCTTCGATATCCTCTTCTGACGAGTCAGGCGTTGATGCGTACACGTGGATGACTGTTACTTTGAATGATGATGCATTAAGTCTCGCTGTTATGATCTGCGAGTCGATCGGGTTGTAGCTCAGTAACGAGCGCTTCGCCCTCGTACTAAGTAGCATGACAACATCTCGGGTGTACTTATTACCTTCTCCTGACCAGATAAAGTTATCGCTGGGTGCCTCCATTGTGCTATCCAGCGTACTTCTGAGTTACCTATGATATTGTAACTGAAGCGTTTCATTTCGTGTCTGGGTGTGGGTGCCGGGCATAGGTACCATAATCAAACATACTGACACCGACACCGATACCCACACCCCACACCCATACCCTCAGCAGCAGCTTCACTTAAATCGTAAGACCTTGTATTTACTATCAGTCAATAAAAAAGGAAGCTAACCGTTTTAAGATATCAACTTTCACAGATTTGAAAATGGCATATCATTGGCCATACACAACTCTTTCATGGCTAGACAAATAAATTCTTGCTATGAAAATTCAACAGAATTTAATCATTTTGTAGAGAATAAAAATGAAAGACGGAGATGTGATCGAAAATAGGATATACAAACTACTGTAGCTATGATGCATTTTGTATAATAATTGTAACTGAACTTTTCAATCTATTTGGCTCGGATAGTTAGCATAAAATGTTTTGAATTTGCAAAGTGAATGAATAATTTTTCGGATTCTTTCTAGATGAAAAAATTTGTATTGTTTTATTGCTAAGAAAAAAAGCGAGCCAAGGGTATAACTCTATCTGGGATCAGATGATGATTTCTACATAAACAACATTACAGAATAGCTGTCAACGTCAAAAGTCTGGCATCAGTTTGGTGTTTTGAGTCGTGTATTAAAAATAAACAACATTAATTTAATTTTTATATATGTCTGTATAGCAGAGGTCGAGTGCTATCTATATATATATCTGTTTCATACGAAAAGCTCTTGAATATAAAATACAATAAAAAAAAAATCAACTTCAATGCTAAGAAAAAAAATGACATAAAAAATTACAAAATGACATTGTGAGTATAGGTTAATTTCATGGTCAGTTAACTAAGAAAACACATGGAATTCAGAAAACTTTCCATTTTTTCAGATTTTATAGAACCTTTTTCGCTGATCATTTTAGTAAAAAAAAATTTTGAATTTCATTGAGAAATGACGGTATTATAGAAATAATATTAAATAATGCGAAATACTGGGTGTCCCAAAGCGTTTGTAATATAGTTTGTTTTTTGCTAATGTCTGTCCACAAACAAACGGCAAAGTTTTGGTTCTCCTTTCAAAAGATGCGCCATCGGAAGCTTTATAAAAGCAGTATAAACAAATCCTATTGCACCACAAAAATTATCCCCAACATTTTTATTGTCATTTTTTTAACATTGAAGTTGATTTGTTTTCATTGTTTTTTATATTCAAGAGTTCTTCGTATTAAATAGATATATAGATAGCACTCGAAATCTACTATACAAGCATATAGAAAAATTAAATTAATGTTGTGCAGTTTTAATAGATGACTTAAAACTCAAAAGTGATGCCAGACTTTTGACGTTGACAGTATATAAGCAAATATCGTTCTTAACTGTTCAATCCAAATACGGGATTTATTTCTTGAAGTTTCCAGGATATTATCCTACATGTTTCTAAATTAACTTATTGCGAGTTGTTTCCATATTTGATTCTATAGAAGTTCCAATAGTGGTCGAGCTTAAACGTACTTGGCTAAATCTCGAAGATTAGGCCGTAGCTATTATTTGTATAGTTACTCTTGTTTTTGTAAAACACGATCTACAACAAATGTTGAGTGTATACGGTAAAGACTCGCCTCTCCAAATCATAAAATATGACAGCTATTTTCAAGAAAGTGCTATACATCATTTTGCACCGAAGTTTCCCGAAGATACATAAGGTTTTTTTCTTGGTATTAGAGGACTATGTAAAACATGAAGCTAAACTAGATTCAAACATAAATAGCATAAAACAAGATTCACGTGGTTAGCATAAACAGTTCTATCATGTTTTGCATTATATTTTTATATCGAAATTCAACTGGCTATTTTTCACGAAATAATATCCTTCAATGAGTCATTGGTGACGCTAATTTATAAAGAATAAAAAAATCAAATATTTTTATTGCTCTACATTTGTATTTGGTCAACACAATGGCGAACTTGTATAGAGCAGAACGAGAAAATGAAAAATAACGTGTAATTCTTTTGGTCAAATAAATATTTAGGGAAGAATGTGCTACCGAGAGAAAAGAAGGTCAGGGTTGGTGTGGGTGATTATGTGCTCTTTACACACACAAAAACACCTACGCCCACACCCACACCCGCAAGAAAAAATAGAAAATTTTTATAGTAGAATTTATAACTATATCAAATTCCAGATAAAATAAGTAGTTCATACACTAAATTATAGAATGAACAGAGAGTGGATGTGGATATAGATAAGTGTAGAATGAGACACCCACACCCTGCGCAAGGATACATTGGTGTCGTTGCCATTTGAAAATGGCTTCTGATCAAGAAGATAAGTAGTTCCAGAATATCGGTCTTTAGTAATGACTAATGATCAAAAATCGATGTCAGAGAAGAAGAAATATGGAAACATCGGATTTAAATCCGAGTGTTATGTGTACTTCAATAAGTAAAAACAATTGACGACAAATTGACTTTGATCAAACTGTGTACAAACGAGTCATCATAGCATGTGTAGACATCAAAATTATCCCGGCAAATCGTTTTTCCTAAAACTCAGTTTCTATTGGTTACTGGTCAACCAAGAGGATTGTGAGGCAAGTGGATCTCAGATTCAAATTCTCCACTCCAGAAATCCTTTGTGCATGTTTGATAAAACCTCGAAGTATCGCTTCTCTGATCGGAAAACGGGGCTTTAATTTTCGAACAATCATAGCGTGAACAAACGCAAAAGCAATTTCTGTTCAAGTATCTTAGCAACAGATGCCTTAGCCTTCTTGTTTCTTAATGTTTTGTGCATCATTTTGTAACCCATGAAATTCTCTATCGAATGTTATATAATAGTTGACGTTTTTGTTTTGATCATGAGAGAAAAAGGTTTTTACGAAAACCGAGATAGGTCAATGTTCGCATAGAAAAAAAACAGGAAATAATGACATTTTTTGCGATAACTCTACAATTTCTTGACGAATCATTCTCATCTTTGAACTCGACCGATATATCGATGAGGCAATTCTATGCACAAGGTTTCATGACAATCGGTTGATATTCTCAGGAGTTATCGTGTAAACGGCCGGATGGACATACTGACCGATTCTATAGTGTACTCACTTTTTGAGTACACAAAAAGGAATAACAGCAACAATTAGGAGCTACATCAACTTTGGGGGCTGAGAGAGGATAATTCATGAAAACCGAGTAATGGCAGACAGAGAGGGTGAAGAGCATAAAATCGCGTTGTCAATCTCGCTTTCTCATTGAATAGGTTTCTACCAGAAATTTAAGCTGAGACTTTTTGCCAAGCGTCGTTCTCATTTTCCAAATATCTTGTGATCGGCGCTTGGATTTCTGCTAGAAACCTATCCAATAAACAAAGAGGTGTTGAAAACTCGATTTGTGCCCTACGTTCTCGCTGATCGTATCCCATGAAGGGAGAAATGGCAAACCATAGCTATAGTAAAAGTCACAACATATCTCTACTAAGACAAAGATAATTCATGTATGAAAATAAAGACAAAGAAAAAGAATAGAAGCAAGTCGTCGCAAATAGAAAGTTAAGTAGTATCTCTATTGTTAGTTAGTAGTGATATTCATATCTTCATTGATACAACCGTGATCAACACTTTGCAGTGGTAATTTCGCATTTGCCAAAGCTCGAAGTTGTTTAGCTTCGACTAATCCAGAGTGTTCGACGAGTGAAGTAAAATGAGAAGTGGGATTCGAGAGAAGCACAACGGGCGTGTCGAATTCGAGCAATTCTCCATGACCAAGTACCTTCAAGACAACAGCTTAGAATAGAAAACAAATTTCAGTTGAAATTTCCATACCAGAATGCGATCGCTGTCGATCACTGTCCGCAAACGATGAGCCACAGTGAGAACTGTACATTCACTAAACTTTTCGCGAATGATTCGTTGTATCAATTCATCCGTACTACACAGAGTATAATATTAAACGGTTTCTATCAAATATCAGAATTTTATTCTCAAAGTCGGAAATTAATCAGACAGCACTTTTTTCGCAAACTAGTGGGCATTTTGTTTTTATCGGGACTCTAAATTGGTTTTGCAGGTCGTCGTATTCCATCCTATGGATCATATGTGACAAGTAATCTATATAGTAAAAAGAGTCTATTAAGCTTTGTATCGACTTTCATGACTATCTTCTTCAATCATCTCAGTTTCTCTCTATCTGCTCTCGTTTATATAAAAACTACGCTGAAAATTAATTTGAAGTAGAGACAGTAAGAATTTCTTATAAGCTTGGGTTTTTATTCATATAATCAACACTTATACTGAGGAAATATTAAAAAAATTAAACAAGCTAGAAACATACAGAATATTTTAAAGTCAGCTTTAGCCTTCATTGTTTAATCTACTGTGAAAATATTAAAAGTTTTTTCGATAGAAAATATAACAGAAAAGTGAAAAATGAAACTGTTTCTATTGAAGAAAAAGGCGAAGAATTCATGAGATAAAAAGAAGAAATCACATAGGATGGGATGGAATTGGTCCACTAGATTCAAAGTTTTGTTAAGAAACTGCCTAATAATCAAGAGAATTACTTACAAAACCACAATCTGGAAAACTCTCAGAGTTCAAACTCCAGACACTTTCTGACTTTTGAGAAAGAGCTAGCTGCTCTGATTTCAATGAAGAATTGTTTACGTACAAATTATCAACGTTGGCAGTGGCTTCATCAATGACAAGTAT